AGGAGGCCAGCCTCTTCTCCGTGGTGCCCAGCAACAGGACAAGAGGCAACGGGCAGAAACTGAACCACAGGAAGTTCCACCTAAAGCTGAGGAAAAACTTCTTCACTGTGAGGGTGCCTGAGCATTGGAACAGGTTTCCCAGAGAGGTAGTGGAGTCTCCTTCCCTGGAGATATTCCAAACCCGTCTGGATGTGATCCTGGGCAATATGCTCTAGGTGACCCTGCTTGAGCAGGGAGGTTGGACTAGATGATCTCCAGAGGTCCCTTCCAACCTAAATGATTCTGTGATTCTGTGATTCTGTGATTTTCAGAGGTTTATAAGAATGTGGCAGAACACTGTTTTTTTCCCTCTGTATCTCACTTACGCGTTGCAAGCCATGTATTGCACAATATGGCTTAAAAGACATTTCCAGTTAGCTGGAACTCCAAGTTTAATGGAGTACTTTCCAATCAATGGATTGGTAATGCCTTGTTGAATGTAAGATTGTAAGAGTTTGGGTGGTTGTTTTCCTTCCTGGGCCCTTGTCAAATTTGCAGTAATCAGAAGACCATAAAATAGTTTCTAAGAAGTTTTAATTGTGATTCTCTTCAGTCAAGCCAAAAGAATTACTGAGAACCAGCTAGAATAATACCACAAATGTTTTCTTTCATACAGGACAGCATGGCAGCCCTTCAGGAGAAAAGATCTTCTGAAGAAAGAAGGCGCAAAAGTGTCCAAAATGGTACTCAGACATCTCAAGGACAGTGGGGAAGAGCATGGTGAGAGAAGTTGGTGACCTTAATTAGTCCCTGTATTTCAGATTGGTTCATACTTGCTCTTGTGGTTGCTGCTTTCCTTTTAAACTGGACTCTATTAATAAAAGATGCTTGCTTTGATCTTCCATAGAATGAATTGTAGTAAGAGGTGCAAGTTACAGCGGGTTGTAAACAGTAACGCAAAACATTGCCTTACCTTGCTTTGCCTTTCACGCACTGCAGTGTGTTGACACTTTCATCATTCTATTGAGTAGTGTAATGTTGTAAGGCCTTATTACTCCTCAGCTGGAAGAGAAATTCATGTTGAAGTCTATACTTTTTTGACAGCTTGTTTTGATTGAATACGCTTATCTTTAAATATAGATAATTAGAAGCAAGGCAAAGAAGGTATCTTTGTTTAGGTATCTCAGACCATCTACCAGTGCCCAGTTGCGTAAAACAACTTTTTCAGGAGTTGATGCCAGAGATTATAGCTGGACAAGGAAAATTGTCTATTTATACAGATTTTTCATTCCTCGTATAGACGTAATGTATTCAGACATAAAAATGCTCTTGCCAGCATAACAACTCTCTAGCCTGATTTAATATACAAATTGAAATAATCACACATACACTGAAGAATCCTACAAGACTTTCAAGTTAGAGATTTTGCCAGAAGGCTTGGGTTAAAACACGCTTCTGCTTGCAAAAAGGAACGCTCATTATAAAAATGAGCAAAGTTTGTTGTTCTTCAAAAGTGTAACAAAATATTTGTTCAGATTTATAAAGCAGACATCCATCGGTGGTGTTACCAGCTGACATCTCCTGGTATAGCAAGATGTAAGACCCATATCCTTGTCCTCAAAGTATTGTGCAAATATTAGAGTATTGTATTGCAACTGGAAACTGAGATGTGAATTTTTACATGGCTTGTTGTTACAGACAGTGTGTGGTAGAACAAGTTCAATTTCTGGCTGTCCAGAGTCTCTTTTCTGTGTCTCCAAGCTTTGCTTAATATGCTTGTGATTCTATTACCACCTCTAAGTGAACTCTACAAATTATACCCCCAACTACTGTCTTCATGTATTTGATGGCAATAATAGTCTGGTTTTGGGGGTGGTGAGAAAGGAGAGATGTTGTCTACTCTGTTGCACTGATTTACTAGCATAGGTCTATAACAGTTTGTGGTAAAGTATGTGACATGCTATATTTTCTGTGACTGTTTGACCCGAAGAAATGTGCGCCCTCAAAATATTTCCAGTTTTCACCTGGTTAGTTTAGAAGGTCCGTTGAAAAAAATCTGCCTGTTAGACTCGCTTTTCCAACTGAAAGTTGGAAAATAATTGTTCTGTTTTGAATTACAGGGAAGTAGACTGGTTTTCTTTAGCAAGCATCCTTTTCCTGCTCGTGTTTGCACCACTCATTGTATATTACTTCATAATGTCCTGTGACCAGTACCAGTGCTCCCTGATCAATCCACTCGTTGACTTGCTCATGGGGAATACGCATCTGTCTGACATCTGGAACAAAACTCCTACGCTGACATACAAGGCTGCTGGCATCTATATCCTTTGGGTCACTTTCCAGGTATGTTATTGAGTTATAGGTGGTAGTGGCTATTTCTTTAAAACCAGCTGTTCGATTAATCCTGTTTCGTGCAAGATAAGGGAATGTCACACTGGCTTTTACTCTTTGAAGTTTCTCCTTTTACATGGCTTTTTGGAATCCAAACAAAGCTTATGTAGTTGAAAACAAAATACGTCAAGCATAGGCCCAAATGTTCCTTTGCCGTCAGCAGAGTACACTGTTAACGGTGTGATGGATCACAGCAGCTGTAGGGCTGTAAGCAGCAATACTGAATAAAGATAGGACAGTATGCTTGTGTTTGTGTGTTCAAGCACATACATGCGTCTATACTTGAGAGGAAACAAGGGTTGAACTAACCAGGATTATATGGAATTTTTAGGTAATTGAAATGTAATCTGTCAGATGTCAATGATATCAATCCATCAAAAAATGCCAGGAGGCTACGTGGTCCTCAAATAATTGGAGTACTAGTTTTGCTCTTCCTGTGAAAGAAGCTTGCTTCACAAGCATAGCTTTTTGATACCTAGTATCATATAGCACCATACTTAAACGTTGTGCCCAGCAATGAGTCAGAAAATGTGCAGCCAGATGCATGCCAATGCATGCATCCCATAGCTGATCCTGATCCCATAGCTACTCTGTGGTCTGAGCATTTTACACAAATATAAACGCACATAGCATAGAAGAATGAGTTATAGAAGAGTCACAGATGAAGATGTGGTTATTAAGAAAAAGCAACAGTAATAACAAAAATATCCATTTATTTTAATTAAATATATGATAAATGTTATGTACTAACACTGCAGAAGGAATAGAATATTCTGTAGACAGAATATAAAAGGACATTGATATATGAAATACACTTGTAAAATATCTTCAAACTTACCAAACTTCTCTCTTTTTTTTTTTCAATTTGCTAAGCAACTTTCATATAATACCAATTAACTTTAGAATTAAAGGATAACAACCTGAAGCTAGTTAGCAACTTTTCCCTCCCTGCTGCAAAAGAAGAATGATTACCATATATCAAGTGCCTATAGGGTAAAAAATTGCTTAGTAGCTTGATTGTATTACTAGTCTAAAAGCACATCAGCTATATCTTGCAATATTTGCTTAACCAATGCTTAATTGAAACCACTGAATATTGTCTTTGGTATGTGTATGAAAGGGATAGTGCTTTTTGGGTTTTGTCTGGTTTCTCGCTGTTAATAACTTCTCTCCATTTTAGGTGATTTTGTATGTGTTCATTCCTGATTTCTGCCATAAGTTCCTTCCTGGATATGTAGGAGGTATACAGGAAGGTGCTGTCACTCCTGCTGGTAAGGTATTATTTAAAATATACCCACACTATACACTTCTTTTTAAATGATAGTATTTCTGTACTTAAAAGGTTTAAATAAGCTGTATATATCTGGAGGAAACATGGGCATAAATGGTTTCATAAATGGTTTGGTTTACTTCAAACTTAAAAAAAAAAAAAACCCAAAAAACTTCATCTTTGAGAATAACTTACAGATTTTCTGTTTCTTAGTGTTGGTAAACCTACTGATTGTGCAATTAGGTGATTAATTCTTCCTTAAGTAAAATGTAGCTGGCACCACATCAGCAATGGTGGAAAAATTCAGAATGATAATTTTGGAGCTTAAGATAACTGGGCCGTTCTTGCTAGTGTTCCGCCGTGCGGTTACACCTACTCGAGCTAAAATACCTGACGTGAACTAAGTATAACAAAGAGTAACTTGAGACCCTAGTTTTAGGAGACATTCCAAATCCACTATTTGCATAAAGAGAGTCAGTTTAACACAGTCTGATGGTTACACCAGAGTATAATGAAACTTTCAAGAAGATGCTATATGCCAAAATATTTGGGAGGATGAAATTCAAGGGAAGTGGGGAGAACTTGATCATTTGTGGAGTACTTGATTGAGCTTTCTGGATAAAAAAGCTATACTAGTGCAATATCATAGTAACATTCAGGGTTTTTTTCCTTCACTTTTTAGGTGTAGTAAATAAGTATGAAATCAATGGACTTCAGGCTTGGATCATTACCCATGTGCTTTGGTTTGCAAATGCCTTTTACTTCCACTGCTTCTCACCTACCATAATTTTTGACAACTGGATTCCTCTTCTGTGGTGTGCCAACATCCTGGGATATGGGGTTTCCACGTTTGCAATGATTAAAGGCTACTTTTTCCCTACTAATGCCAAAGACTGGTATGTGGTTTTTAATAACGAGAGAATACTAGGAAATCTGACATACACATTGAATGCTGCACAGAATAGTAATGCAAGTATGTATGTTATTGGCAAAGATAGGCAGGCCAAAGTAGGACTGTGGTTCTTTACTTCATTTGCACGGTCCTCTGTGTGTCATGCTGCGTGTTATGTGATTGTGGAAGCCTCCGTGTCATGGATACATCCATTCCAATCTGAGACTAAGAATAAGGTTATAGTTAGTTCACAAGTAATACCGAGTGTAAAATAGAATGTTTTTGAGGCCAAAATTTATCTTTACTAATGTAATGCTTTGTTTTGATCAATTTGTGCGATGCAAACATGACCCAATTTTATGATTTTTTTACTATCATTACATTAAGTGCCTTGGGAAATCAAGTGAAATGTGTAGACAGAATAGCAATTACCTGAACTCATGTATAACTGCATTAATTTGTAATCTGTTATGCTTTCCAGCAAATTCACTGGCAACTTTTTTTATGACTACATGATGGGGATTGAGTTTAACCCTCGAATAGGAAAGTGGTTTGATTTCAAGCTCTTCTTCAATGGGCGCCCTGGTATTGTAGCCTGGACTCTAATTAACCTTTCCTATGCTGCTAAACAACAGGAACTGTATGGTCAAGTAACCAACTCCATGATCCTTGTCAATGCCCTTCAGGTAAGTTTGGAGGAGGAAAATGAGAAACTAAATTCAAAATAAACTAGTATTAAAGTAGAAGAACTCCTTGCATTGAAATTGAACTTGCACCATTTTCTTGTATTAAAAATGTCATTCAGCGATGAGGCACTGGGGCTTATTTCCTTGGGCACTTGTGCTCATTCAGTGTGTCACTGACAATGCTCTAGTGTACTCATTCATGGTGCTACCAGTGGTATGGTCCTGCCTTCATGAGCAGATTTCAGTATCTTAAATTCAGAGAAACTTTTCTGAACCTGTGTTCTAGAAACAGGTGTTGCCTGATCTAGAATCCAACAAGAACAATGGCAAAATTCTGTGGTTTCAATTGGAATAAGATTAGGGCAGCTTTTTCTAAAGGTAGCACTACATCTAGCTCCACTTCTTTAACGTGAGAAGGGCACAACTATTGATTTCTCCACACCTAAAAATTGCCAGTCGGGTTCTGCACGTTCCCCTGAAAGAGACCCCAAAGTAAAAAACAGAGATAATAGTTTGGATTTACTCATTCGTATGTGCAAACGGGAGTCCTCTTAATAGAAGCTTTGTTCTCACTCTTGGTAAGCATGACACTCTCAAAATTGAAGAGAGTCAGGGGTGGTCAAATGCAGGTGCATTTCCTGAGTGGTATGTCCTTACAGTAGCACATGGAGAACATTTGCATTAGTTAGCTTGGTTAATACTGCTTTGCATCAGTTGTTACTGCTTTAATTATATAGATGTAGTATAGTTCTTCCTTCTGTATGTGATATGTTCCTCTTAATACTGTATTTTTGAGGTAGTAAAATAAAAACACAGGTCAGTTTTGAGATCTTATCACAAGACAGCCCAGAAAGATTAGGCTGATGCTGTTAAACAGGATGACAGGTGACAGTGCTCTGCTATTAAGCAGAACCATTCTGTTCCAGGGTATTTATGTTTTGGACTTCTTCTGGAATGAAGCCTGGTATTTGAAAACCATCGATATCTGCCATGATCATTTTGGATGGTACTTGGGCTGGGGAGACTGTGTTTGGTTGCCATACCTCTATACTCTGCAGGTAAAAATATGGTAGAATATGGTTCTTTCCTTTTGAGCTAAAAGGAAAGAAACTTTTCAGAAACATTTTCCTCAAGGGTTTTATTTGTATCTTAAGTTGCTTCTAGACATTTTGAACGCTAAGTAGCCGTTACAACATTCTGTGTGGGGAACAATTCGCCTGTAGGAGGGCCTGTTGTCCCAACATGGAATTGACATCTTTTCCTCTTCTCCTCCTCTTTTGTGCCCCTTTCTGTCTCTACCATGTCTGTATGTTTTTTCAAAGTCCTTTTGGTCCCTTTTTGTATTCCTGTATGATTCTTTTATTCTGCTGCGTTTGGTAGGCACCCTCACTTCTCCCTCGTTATTGTTCCCATATAAATTATGTGATCTTTGGAAAGGGAGAGGGAATGCAGGACGCAGAATTTTTTTGAAAAATCTCCATGGTTTTACTAGTAGAGTGGATTTTCCTATTCTTTCTACTCATCTATTCTGGGTCACTGTAGGTCAAGTGATTAGTCTGACATCCTGAGCGTGCACTCAGGGTTGAGAAAAGATGTTGTAAATCCCTGATTGTTTCTTTTCTACTTCCCAGGGTTTATATTTGGTTTATCACCCTGTCCAACTCGGCACGGCTAACGCTGTAGGGATCTTGATACTGGGATTGGTTGGCTATTATATCTTCAGGGTGACCAACCACCAGAAAGATCTCTTCCGTCGTACAAATGGCAACTGCAAGATATGGGGAAAGAAGCCGGAATACATTGAGTGTTCCTACATGTCTGTGGATGGTACAAGGTACTACAGCAAACTGATGACCTCAGGCTTCTGGGGATGGGCACGCCATTTCAATTACACAGGAGATTTAATGGGTTCCCTAGCCTACTGCCTGACTTGTGGGTTTGCACATATCTTGCCTTATTTCTACATTGTTTATATGGCTATTCTGCTGATCCACCGTTGCGTTAGGGATGAACACCGTTGTTTCAGCAAATACGGGAAGGACTGGAAGCGCTATACTACTAAAGTGCCTTACCGGCTGATACCAGGAGTATTTTAAGACTAACACAGAATCCTGGGGAAATAAAAAAAGAAACCTTTTTTGGATACAAAAAGAGCTTATGCACACAGTTAAACCAACAAAAATCAGTTTCTGTAGGCAACTCTTAATGCTCTGGAGGAGAAAAGATGGCTGGACAGCAATTCTTCACGTATTTAAGGAATGTGCTTCCATTAGCCAGTGGCTGTATGTAAAGTAGATGAAATGAGGCACTGAAATAGCCTCTTTTTTTTTTTTTTAACCTAGGACTTTTTTTTTTCTTTCAGTATTAACTTGGAATTGAAGAAAAGTTGCATGTATTCATATTCCTGAAATCTCTCCTATGCTTGGAAGAGGCTTTACCATTCAGAGTAGGAGGGTTCTGGAAACAGTTTCCAGTGAGATAGGAGTGGAGGAAAACAGGTGCTTGATCTGTTCATGAAAGCAGTTATGCAATGTGACCGCCTGTGGCAGTCATGATCTACAGTCAATAACTACGGTCTAACTCCCAAAAGAAGGTTGTGGTGTTTGTTGCTTTTCAAGAGGCTAACTGGGGAAATACTGAACCTGATTCTAAACTGTTGTAATGGGAAAACTGGTATAAACTGATAGAAATACTTTTGAAAGCTGACATAAATTGCTATAGCTGAACAGTTACATTTGTTTACAGCACCTGAGAATTCGGTCTACGACCAAGTGGGTATTATTTGATACTGAAACCAACTTGCTTTGCAAAGGTACTGAGCATACATTGAATTCTTTTATGTGAACAGAAAGCTTGGTCCCCTATCATTTCTGCCTAAAATCGTATTTGTAAAACTCTGAGAAATAAATGCCTGGTTTCATGACAAAAGAAAAACAATCTTATCTTTTTCTCTTTTTCTATCACATAGTTATCTTTTAAAGTTTCAAGGTTCAAAGCTCTTCAAAGAATGCAACTCCAAAGAGCTAATTCAACAATAGATAAAGGAGAAAGAGGGATCAGAATATTAACCATGTATCTTGTAACAGGTTTGGTAGTTACGTTCAAGCTAAAAGACACAGATTTTTTCACGTATAAATACATAGTTAGCTTTTACAGTAAGCAGATAATTGTGTCAACTGGTTTCTTAGGAGAGTTGCAGGATACACTGATTTTCATGGCAGTTTTAAATGAGGTGTGTCGGTGGTACATGTTTTAGTCTTGTTGTAGTACTTTCTGAAAGGATAGATTTGCCAGGAGAAAAAGTATCTCTCAAAACGCAGAAGATAAAGGCATCCTGTGGTTTGGCTTTGTTTCAGAGCTGGATGTACAAGTGTGTATGGTTCTTCTAAACCAAACTGTAGTGTCAATACCACCTGTAGACCTCAGATAACTATTTTATTGCCATTTTGCAGATAACTTCAATACAAGACAATGCTGTTACTAACAGCATTTTCATGGAGCTGGGAGAAGCTGTTTCAGACAACTCTTCCAGTTCCTTAACAGGACACAGATGTGTGTTAGAAACACCCTGCTGCTCACCATGCTGCTGTGTTGGCAGAACAGGCAACCCAGTCTTGTCATCCTGAACGGTCACAAGGCACAAAAAGGATGTGTGGAAGTGATCAGAGGAAGAGAATGCAGAGGCATAAAAGCCTTGGATCTGTGAGCTTTTCTAGATAAGTGGTAGCAATGTTTCAATAAAACAATTAATTAGCATCAATTTCCAGTCTCAAATCCCAAAGTATTCCCATGGAGTAAAAAGTTAATTAGATGTGTCTGGTAAAGAGCTGGTTACAAACTTCGTAATGTCTTTATATTGCCAGATACTGTTTAAAATCCACCTGTTTAAGCACATTGAATTGATAATGCAACTGGCAGTGCAAAATCTGATGGATATGTTCAGCGTTACAGTTATACTGGAGCTTACACAGGTACAATTCAGCTCTTCTGTCTGTGTGACGCTTAAGCATTATCTTACCATAAGGTAGGTGTCCTAGAGCCTGCATGTTGCGTTAGGGATTTCTAGCATTTTGGATAAGAAATACAGTGAAATAACAGCTCTTGCAAATCCTTAACATCAAAGGTTACTGTACCTCATCTTCCTACATCTTCTAATTTCACCTGCGCTTCCACTTTGGAGAGGGCGACATCATTTTCTTGCCCATCAGAAGCAAAAAGCGGAATCTCTTCTATGTAGCACCATGTACAAAATGCAGCAACTGCAGTCAGCGAGCTGGAAACCTCAGCAATTGGTACCAAGTGGGCTGTTGCAATTTAATGATGCTTTTGGAGAGGTTTGTGCCTGTAAATTTGTTTGATGCAGTAGCCTATTTGAAGTGGTGCCTTAGGAGGAATTACTGCCACAGTGATGACACCCTGGCAATAGATGTTTTGCTGTGATATGACATTCAGACTCCTATTAATGAAAAGAAGAACTGTTAATACAAATACGGAAAGAAAAAGAATCAATGCCAGCTGCCTTTACTGAAAATGTATAGGTCACCAAAAAGTGGTGCTGTAAAACAGTTGATTTGAGAGTACTGGGTTTGGAGCAGGGGAAAACAGAGCTGTGAGCTTCCAGGACTTCTGGTCCCTAACAGGAGTGCATTGCTTTAGGCTGACCCTGATTTTGCTGGAGTAATTGGATAGTTTATCTCCACAGCTTTCCAAAGGCCACACGTTTGCATCATTTTCTTATGCAGCCTTGGAAATTGCACCAACAGCTTGCTGTTAATGCCAAGGCTGTTTAAATACTGCAAGATGATCTGGACTCTTAAGTCATGGTAGCCTTGCATGCCACAGTATGTCGTGCTCTTTTCACTGATAAATTCTGGATCATTGGTGGAAGAAATTGCCCAATTAAGGCAAATGAAAATATCAGCATTTTAAAAATAAAATGGAGATATTTGAAGAGAAAGGGTGGTATTGTGAGCACCAAGTGCATTATGTATTCAAAGGCTTCTTTTAGGCAATTTATGTTACATCTAATGTTAGCCAAAGGATTTTCTGTACCATCTGACACTAGAGCATCGAAGCACTTTCATCTGTTTCTTTGCTGCAGCCTTTGCTGCTACTGCTGAGAATACTTTACCCTGCGGATAGCCAGGCTGCCACGAGGGAGAACTCTTTGTCGGCCAGATTGTTAAGCCCATGGCAGCAAGCAATTAGTTGCAAGACTGTTCAAGCGAGAGTCCGTCTCTAAGCCACATTCACACCCTGTTTGTTGTGAGGATGACAGCTCCTGGTTCTCTAGGCTTTCCTGCTGTCCATGCAGATCTTCATTTATATTCCACCTTCGTGGCATACAGGCCGAGTAAGTATGTACTATGTGTATACAGGCTTCTCCATCTTGCTGGGGCAGGAAGTGGTAATTCCGTTCAGGTTTGTGTTTCTCATAAATAAACAATTTTTTGGAGAAGCATGAAAATACATAAGCAATGCTGTAAGCCGTGCCCTACTAATTTCATCCTGTAAAACTGAATCATTTAAAAGACTGTTGACTTACTCATCTTCAGATGCCTGTGTGATGTTTTGTGTTGTATGCACGGCAGTGCTGTTTAAACTTGTTTCCCCAGAACACCAAAAAATGTGTCAAGGCTTACTTTGCCTTGAAGAGTTTATGGGTGAGTGTATGTATGAGATTAACTCTTGCCCTGATATTTCATAATTATTAATGTTAAGCTATCAATATTGCCTTTCAAGTTTTGAGAGCATATGTCTGTGATATGGTGGAAATTTCAAATACAAGGTTGCTATTATTTGTAAAATGGTATTACTTTATACGCAGGTTAAAACTAATGGGAAAATGTAGCAAAAGCTTCTGATACTTACTTGGAGCCGATAAAAGGTACAATATTTTAGTACATTTACTTCGATAGGACTATTGTATGAAAAAAAGTAACAAATGCCCCTTTGTGAGCAGGGCACAACAGGGTAAGTAAATTCCAGATTGCCCTTGACATGTCTAAGGAAGAAAATGCCTTTCTTCTAGTGCATAACTATTATAGATTGTCAGCATCCAATCTACAGATGGAGCGGAGTGGGGAGAGGGGAACTTCCAATAATCTGGAGGTGGAGGGTGTCTTCCCACATTAAAAATTCTAACACTAAAGAACACTGCAGTAGGATAGCGCTTCTGAGATTGATGCTCATAGAACGTCCTTATCTTTCAGCATAAGGAAGGTTATTCATTTATAACCATTGATGCAAAGCTGCAATTCAATTTATTCCAATCCAGGCTGTGAGAATGCTGACACAATTCAATGGTGGACTGTCAGGTACGTAATGCGTGTAGCTTTTCAACAGGTTCATAAGTATGTAGACTTCTTTTATAAAACATGTACCTCTGAGCAACTTGGGACTAGTCCAAAGTGCTATGCTTAGAATATAATGGGATTTGATAGTTCAGTTCCAGCTTTATTCAGAGAATATAAATGACAGCAGAAGTGTACACTTTTACCTCACGGGGGCAGCCACAAAATATTTTCTGCTCTGAATTATTAATGTAAGTTCTGATCATGTGCCACTGCCCATAACCCAGAGCTGCACAGGATAATTCTAAATAATGCACTGTTGTCATTGGAGGTTAAAAGTGATCTGCAGTTGAAAATAAAATTTCAATTATTTTGAAAATAATTGACTACTTTGCTTCAGTTAATACAGAAAAAGCCTGAACGTGTTTGTCAAATCAAAAGGAAAATGAAGCTTGTGATTATTTCTTTTCCATGTTACACACTATGGTAACTGGACAAGTAATGAAGTGATTATTTTTAATTAGGCTATTCAAAACCTTTTTCTTGATTTTTTTTTTTTTTTTTACCACCTAATTATCAGAAATTTTTGCAATTTAAGGAAATTTATAAAATATATTTCAGTTAATATAGTATAGATCAAAAAGAAAAAAGAAACTAATAAGTATATACTGCGATGGCCATATCTGGTTTTTTTGGAAGTATTGTAAGTGAATCAGAGAACGATAACAAGAATAAGTCATAAGAAAAACTCTCTTAAATAGTGAAAGTGAAAGCTGGAAGGAGGTTAGCTCAGAAAGTAAACAAATGGAAGGAAACTGAGATACCTTAGAAAATTAAGCTGGGGAATTTGTCTCTGAGAAAATTGAAACTAACAGAAAACATGTCATGATGGTGTGGAACTAGTAGCTACTAGAAATGGTTGACATCAAGAATTTTAAAGGGACTTAATTGTAAATATCTGGGTTATCTAGAGTTATGAACTAATAACTGTAACTTTGTCAAGTTATAGGTTTTGACAAAGAGTTTAAACAAATGTTTATTACAGTTCAGGAGAAGAATTATGAAGGGATTTGATTATTTCATTTCTACTTCATTTCAGAAGTAGAGAACTTCTGAAGCCTTTTTAATCAAGCAGGATAGTGGACTAGTGGACCTCTGATTTGATCCAATATGGTAATGCCTACATTTAAAGAAAACAAAACAGAAATTGGTATGCAAAACATTAAAATCTAAGTCAAACAGCAACTGTAGCTCAAATGTTTATTAATGAAAAATTAAGTAATCGTTTTAGTTTCTGCCCAGACTTTCTTGTTAATGCTGCACAGTCTCCTGAAATACGAAAGACTTTAAGTTAGCAGCTGAAAAAAACTTGCCAGATGTGACTATGAAAATGTTTAGTTCACTTGTTTATTGGGAGTCAGGACAGCCTGGTGAAACATTTAGGACAGTTGCAGCGGATAGGGAGAAGATAGTCATTCTGTTTTTTCTGCTTCTGTAACAGTGGAGGAAGACAACTGTTTTCAGGGCAACGACCTGAGAGTTTTCCTTACACTATCGCCCTTAAACTTCCCTTTTGCGTTATCAGGCTTCAGCTATAAATTCAAAAAGAGACTGACTACATGAAGTGAAGTCATGCTACTGTGATTACAAAGAATGCAAAACTCTAGAATATAGCTGCAGCATTGATAAAAATTAGAACTGATGAGTGCTGAATGTAATCTTATGCTATATGGTAATGCTATTAATACAAATTTCTTTAGTGTGAAAAGGACCTCAATTCTCTGAATACTGAAAGTATTGAAATACTGAAAACATGTAATCAAGGTATTTTATTCTTCCATGAGTCATCTTACGTTTTGTTCTTGGATTAGCTAATTTTTCTCCTAACAGTCTCCCCTTGGAAGGTGATTTGTTAAGGATTCTAAAGTTCAAAATACTTACAAGCTAATTATGTGAATGAATTCATATAATAAACATATTTGTTAAGCTTGAGTCTGCCAGTCTTTGTTCTACAGGCAGATTTAGTATGCCAGGAAGTGTGACAGAAGCAATCGAACAAGACAACAAAATATTTCTGCACGCTACTGGAGTAGAAGAAAACTAATCCATATGAAATGATGGTGATTTTCTACGTGCGGTATTTTTCACACTGCAGTAGTACACCCCAATTCAGGTGAATCCATGTACATCTCGTGCATGTACATGTAATTTAAAAAGAAAGCTTACTATCAATTTCAATGTACTACTATCAATTTCAATGTACTTAGAATCAGACCCTTAAAGAGGTGACCTAAGCATCTATTAAGTGGTCTGTTAATTCGAGCCTGAATCTAGTGCTTTACTACATGTGTAAAATTAACCTTAACCACCTTCAGAAATAAAACTTCTCTGCAGACAGAAAAAAATGTACTGGAATGGGGAACTGCATTTAACTGTTTGGTATCTTCAGGGGGTGGTGTTACAAGACTGATCACTTGCAGAAAAGAAGAAAAAAAAAAAAGGTATCACTGCAAGAATTTCAGTTATGCTGAAAATGAATATATCAAGCAGATGGCTATCATAAACTCACAACATATCTTGAAATATATCCATCCATTTTTTTTAATGCAATAAAAAGTAGCCATCTTGGTGTCTGGAAAGTATGTTTTATCATAACATTTGGCTTTCCAGCTGGCATGTTGTAGTTACTATTGAAGATCATTTAGTGATATGTTTTCTCTTCATAAAACTCTACTTCACAATGAGTTTTTTTTCCTCCTTTAAGCTACATATGAACAAGGCTTTGATGCAGTCATTGATTGTACCAGGCAATCCTGAGTGCTAGTGTTGGAGGCAGCTGTGGTGGTTAAAGAGAAGTGGTTCATGATTGTGGTGTAATTAGGGTGAGATTCAGTCCCCTGAAGCAGAGGAAAAGGAAGTGGATGGTTTAGCCTCCATATATTTATAGATATATTTAATATTCTTGATATATTTGATAATCTAATGTTTTCTTTCTAAAATTGAGTTGTTATTGGAGTGATACCTCCTCTTGTGATTTGCTGAGTTGCTTAGGAAGTAGCTTTCTAAGCATTTTTTACATACAAGGGTTTCTTAGTGTTTCTTAGAGTTTAGTGTCCCTACTGACAAAAAAAGACATGTCAAGAGTAGGAAATCCCCAGAACACAGATGGAAAATATCAGTAACTCTTGCACCAGTACCTTTTGCACAGTTGTAGCTGAAAGGCTCATGTTACCTCAAATTAGCTACTTCAAACTAGCTAAAAAATCTCAAGTCCTGACAGTAAAAAGGGATGTCCCTTCTTCCCTGCTCCTTTTCCCTCAGCCAAAACCATGACAAGTAAGTGCCAGCTCTATAATGTAGCACTGTCAGAAGCTTTTTGCTACATCACTGTCTTTTCCGGAAGAGAAGAAAGCAACAAAATGAGTACGTGGAATCCAACTGAAGAAAAGACAGTTCATGACAATTGAGCAAAATACTGCAGCTGAAATGCACAATCTAATACAAACTACCAGAAGCTGTACATTAATATCCTGTAATTCCTGGTTAAAGTTCTGTCTTCCAGGTTATGTCATGCACACCATGAAGATGGACCTGGCTTCCTGCTTATTGCAGTGATTTAGCTTATGTTTGTAAGATGAGACTGGTAACTACTCTCTTTTTCAGAGTCTGAGTTGCTTTTGTTTAAGAGAACTCTCTTCTTTAGTTGTTCAGTCTTCTGTGCCAGGGCTTTCCAACAGCAGCTGGAGAGCCTAAAAAAGTCACATATTCCCAAAAGCATATTTCTGTCACCTAAAGTTAAAGACCGAAGTGTGCAATTCTGTCTTGAATTATACCGTGCTGGTCCTTTTTTTTTTTTTTTAATTTCCAGAGTTGCTCTGACCAACAACAATAAACCATGTGCCCTCTATTATTTAATCTCATCCTTTATGTAACTTCAGTGGAATTTCACTAGTCTGCACTGAATTATTGCTCTTATGCTAGCTTTATGATGCTTTTTGTAGCTAGCAAAGTAAATGAAGTGGTTCGCTGTTGTAATGTGATGAAGTCCTGTGATTCAAACCACAACTATCAGAAATGCAGACCATGCACACGCTCTTTAAATTGATTCTCCTATTTTTAAGAACCAGTATGGTTCTTAAAACCATATGCAAGAAGTGAGATTGCTCTGAAAGAAGCATTTGTATTCTCAGATAACTGTTCTCTCCTTATGTCAACAGTTTTGTGATTAAAAAAAAAAAAAGTACTTCAATCACGTTAGAGATACGATCCTTTACGATCTTGAGAATTTAAAAATGAAGAGGAAGAAAGAAGTATATTTCAGCATCTATTCCATTTGTGCCGTTTGGCTTTGTGTGGATATCGGCATGATGGTTCTGGGACGTGGTGGGTCTCTTTAGGCAATGTTGTCTCTGTTATCTGAGAGTAGCACAGGAAAGAAATTGCTTTGTCCCACTGAGTTTTCTTGCTTTCTAATAGAAAACATTCATCAGAGCACAACTACTTTTCTAACCATAATAATGTCAGTTTTCCTAAGAGATTATGTTATTAGTTAAAACTTAGGCAGCATTATAATTCTGTCTGATACCTGCTTTGGTCTGTTCATGAAACACTGAGAAAGCTGTGCAGATAAGCTAGTAGTCAGCATATCTGTTTTTCTTGAGTGCTATGACTATTTGTGTGTCTTTACCTCATTTGCTGAGAGCCACTGAGTCTATCCTGTTTTTTAATTGCTTTGTTAGACAACAGCTTAGTCAGAATGAAAAATTTTTAATGCTATCCTTAACATTAGATGAGAAGCAAATCACAGATGCACAAGCATTTTGAGAATATATTGACAGCAGAATTTCAACTGCTTTAATAAAATTGGCTTCACCAATGTTCATGGACTTTTTTTTTCCCTCTGTGAACTTGCAAAGTAGAGTACATCAGTTATTGCCTCATGCTTCAGTAGCTCAGTACCTCCTCTGGCTGTGAGTGACTATAGACAAATAATTCAAAAAAGGAACTTAAACATTCTTTGGAATCATTCCATTTCATTCAAAGTTCACAGACACTTACACAGTTGATGGTTTTATTTTAGTGTTGTAGAGGGAGTGAGAGTTGTAATGATTCTTCTGCTGGCGGGTCTTTACGGTGATATTCCTGTAGCTTCATAACAGCTCTTTGTGGAGATACAATAAGGAAATAGCTTTTAGAAATAGAAATAGAGTGAATGCTAACTGTGCCTCTAAATTTTTTCTTCAGAAAAGACATGCTTACATGCAAACTCTTATTACTTACATTGCTCCATACAGAAGCATTAAAAGCAATAAAAGAAAATGCAAAATGCATAATATGATGTTTTGTCATAATAAAAAAGCATTTTACTATTTGCATTGCGATTTCCATACAATTTGATGTGATTTAATAGCATTTGTTACCCTTGCTTATCTCTTATTTATTCAGTAAATTGAACGCAAAATGCTATTTAAAAGCGGCTAAAGGCCTAAATATCGCCTTATCTTTATCTAATCAAAATGACACTAATTT